ACCGTGACACACCTATGTGATCAGTACCTACAGCTTGTTTGATCTAAATCATAAAATGCACCTAAAAGATACAAGACTCTTCCTGTTTTTATTTATTGTTAGTATTTTAATCCCTCACCATGGCAACATTATTGAAGATGTGTTCATAATTCAAGGTCAGTGTAAATTGCATGAATCTCTTAGGAGGAACAATTACAAATTCGGAGCCTGCAATGTTAAAAAAATACATTCAGTCCAAAATAGCTGATTTCCTGTTGATCAGAGCTAATGACTGTAATAAAAACCTAGAAAAATATTACATTTTTATCTGTACATTTGGCAGTTATGATTAAATGAAGGGTTGCATAAATCAGTACAATCTGAATTAAATTCAACAAACGCGTAATATTTTACAATGTAATATGTCCTCCATAACCTTAAGTATACTTCTCTGATCCTTCTTGACATTGAGTGTACAAGTTCATGACAAATTATCACATTTATCCTTTTTAACTATTGGAGGATGACCACCTTGAGTGGATGTTTGATTCAGCAGAGTGTTGCTCAACTTTTCTTTACAAAATCCGTGATATTGTTAATAGTGTTAAGGTAGCCAGGTTTCAGTTTTTTTTTTTTAGCGCATCAAAATGTTTAACCATATAGCAGATGGAAATGCCATTTGTCAATATAATTTCTCAAGTGTTGACTTTGTTTAATGTCAATACTTCAAATGTCACAAAAACTTCTTTGGAAACACTTTTTAAAAAGGGCTTTAATGGAAATAAATGTTGTGTCACATTGTGTCACAGTGCAGGCCAGGAAAGGTGAGGTGAGGAGATGAGGATTGGATGTATTTGCAGCAACTTTCACACTTTATTAAATAATAAAAGATCATTCAAAGTGTGGAGAAACAAATAACAACTTCACTCAACAATGTAAAGACAATACCTGATCAAAGAACTAAGGGAACTGAGGGCATATATATACAAAAAAGAAAACAAGGAACATCTCAGGTTACACATGTAACTGTGGTTCCCTGAGAGGGGAATGAGACACTGCACCAAAAAAGGGATAGACGCTATGGGCAGTGCCATCAGCGTGACCGGTATCTGAAGCACGTGTGAAAACACACTAATTTAGTTGGACAGCAATGACCCGTGACGTCATCAACTGTGCAATGTGCAAGCATGCCCAATAGCATGGCAGTGTCTCATTCCCCTCTCAGGGAACCACGGTTATATGCGTAACCTGAGAAGTTCCCTTTCAAATGAAACTCTACACTGCACCTGAGATAGACGCTATGGGGAACAAAAACCCACTCCGCCATGCCATATGAGGTATACTTCCCTCACTAGGTTAAAAATATGCACCAAAAACAGTAGGCAGAGCATACAGAGACTCAACAGAATACTTCGCTGGTGTCTAAGCATCTGACCAGAGCACATTCATGGCGTTCTGGACCATCTAGTGGTGGTAATTCTAACCCCTCTCATCTCCCATTAGTATGGAAGATATTTCAGCTCCCAAACACTGAACGCAAGGAAATTCCCGGCCTTTTGAACCTCCGTCCCTTCGTTGTGTGCTACTGTAGCCTTACAGGTGGATCCCAAAAAAGGGGGTAAGCTGTGACAGCTTCTTTCTTTTCCACTTGACATAACTCAAGAATGCCTGCTGGTGGAAGAAACATTGTATTCTCTACCTGGGCATATGCACCTCCTCTGGCGAGATACAGATCTGATTGCCATAGGAAAGACAAAGTCTGTAGAGCAAGAAAGGCAAATGTAATTAATTTGCAACTATTGTTATAATGTATAATCTCACCAAGCCTCACAGAGGAGCTACAGCTCTGAGTAATTACCCTTACAAATAAGGGGAGCGCTCATGCCCTGCTTACTATGAGAAGGGAGCAAGGAACCCTGCTTTAATAGACGATACCATCGGGGAGGGACATCTTGCTCAACCCTCAGACTAAGTGACAGCTTAACAAAGGAAACCTTTCTTGAACAGGTTCCATCTTTGATGAAGCCTTCTCCTTAACTCTTTCCCCGCCATTGATGGAATTTTCCATCATTTATGCATCAACGCTTCCCTGCCATTGACGCAATTTTCCAGATTTCCATGTTTTCACTGGTATACTGTAGGAGGTGCTATTATGCATATTCTGAAAGAGTATTAAATGTCTAAATCAAAATTGGCGAAGAAGCAATCGCATGATCATATGTAAGCAGATGCATATGTAAAACAGCAATTTTGATCACCGTTCTGAATCTGATCCAAATGTAGTCTTTTACAAAAACACGATTTTCTCAGCTTGTTGTTCAAAATGCTGCTTTTTTTCATGAAACTTATCTACATTCAATTATTGATAAAACATTATTTATTTTTGATAAAAAAGATTGTATGAAAATAATTTATTATTGATAAAAAAGATTGTATGAAGCTAGAATAAAAGTGTTTTATGTTTGTTTATTTGTTTTGCTTAAATGCAGAGGCTCTGTTATTTGTTTTGGCATATTGCATGTTCAGACATTCATATATAAAAAAAAAATTCTGGGTGCCATTAAAAATTTCTGAAAATTATCAAAAATTCTGGCGGTGACTGGCAACTTTTTAAATAAATGCTGACTGGGAAAGAGTTAATAGAGGACTTCGAACCTCGACCTCAAGGGAAAAACCATAGGGGGACCACCTACGAGGAACCCTACGTTAGTGTTTATTCCATTCGAGGAGGAACCTAATTCAACCCTAAGGCTAAAAGGCAGCTTATCGATGCAAACTGTCCTCAAAGAGCTACCAACTCTGATGAAGCCACTACTTCAACAGGGAACCTCAAAGAGAGGCTTGACCTAAAAAACGTTCCATCTCATGCACAGCCACACCACACAGGCAGTATGCAGATCGATCAGTGTATGACATCAAAGTACCGAAAGAGTGATTCTTAATTGAGGGATACCTTAATGAAACTGCTCAAAAGTGCAGCTTACCCAGGGGAGCCCACCATGTCATTAAATACTCCAGGCAGCTTCCATCTCTGATGTTGCTGCCACTCCATGGAGGAGTCTCAACACATTATAGTCTCAACCACAAGGGAGCCACAGGGGAGCCTAGTCTAACTTTAGAAACCCCAGTAACATGTGGAAGGCAGATTAACCCTGATTCCAGGTACTGTAGCACCAGCCAAAAACTAGTGCCTATCCCAAATCCTCTTCTTAGTCAATTTAAGTCGTCACCTTAATTTATATAGCACTTTATACAATTCAGATTGTGTCAAAGCAGCTTTACAGTGTCAAACAGGAAAATAGTTTCTCAATGATGCAAGAGGACAATATCAGTAAATTTTTCAGTTAAAGCCAGTTCATTGACGATTCAGTGATGTCATCATCCAGTTCAGCTCTCTTCCAATAGTGTCTGTGCAATCAAGCTGACAATATTGCCAGAAAGTAAGCGAGCTAAGCATGAAAGCAACTAAGCAAGCCAAAGGCGACAGTGGCAAGGAGCCAAAAATCCATCGGTGACAGAAATGGAGAACAAAAAACCTTGGGAGAAAACAGGCTCAGTTAGGGGGCCAGTTATCCTCTGGTCAAACAAAACCAGCATGGTGTGGTTGAATTCCAGGCTGCAACACAGGTCAGATTGTGCAGAGGACTTGTCTGTTTCCCATGGTCTTGTCCCAATGGCCGTCTAGTTGACGGGGTCTTCACAAGCGATCTGTCTCTGTGGCTCATCTAGTAAACAAAGTCTCCGCTGACATTCAGGGCTGTAGATGTCGTCTCTAGATGCTGATCCACCATCTGGTCTGGATATGGTGACCTCGGAATAAGAATGAAACAGACCAATACTAGCGTAGATGCCATTCTTCTTATGATGTAACAAGTACATTGGGTGTTATGGGAAATGTTCCCGGTTTTGGTTGACCTAATTAATGCAGCCTAACGATCCTTTTACGGATTTGAATGATAGAAATGTGATAGTGTGTTATGTGTATGCAAGGTTAAAGAGATGTGTCTTTAATCTAGATTTAAACTGACAGAGTGTGTCTGCCTCCCGAACAATGCTAGGCAGATTATTCCAGAGTTTGGGCGCTAAATAGGAAAAGGATTTGCCGCCCGCAGTTGATTTGATATTCTAGGTATTATTAAATGGCCAAAGTTTTGAGATCGCAGTGGACGTGAAGGACTATAATCTGATATGAGCTCGCTCAAGTACTGACGAGCTAAACCATTCAGGGCTTTATAAGTAATTAGCAAGATTTAAAAACAAACTTCATGCTAGTTGAATGCTTCATGTTTCATGCTAAGTGTAAGCACTTAGCACTTCTTACTAGTGCATGCCATAGTAAGTGGCATATAACGAGGAGGGATGCCCCTTGGGTGAACATAAAGGTTCACAATGATTAAAACAATGTCAGCTACCAGTGACTTTCCTCAAACATAAACTCTCATCCTTCAAGAGAGAATTAAGTATGCATTCAACTTCTTTGAGAGCTAAACACGCTCCGTTCAAATGCTAGATTCATGAACCTAATCAGAAACCATGGTAACAAACAAGGGTCACAGAACAGAAATGAACAAAACTGACCATGACAGTTCTATTGTCTGAGGGCTATGTAACACTCTTTTAAATGTAACACTATTTAAATGTTTTGATTCAAAATACTCAACTGTTGATTACATATTTTCATATAATTTGCTCATTAATATTGACATGCTTTTTGGTAACTGATCAACCAGACTTGCAAAAACATTATATCTTCAAATAGCCCAATGTAATAAGAAATTGCTTTATCTAATAATAAGTAATTCTTTAATCTAATAAGAAATTGCTGATTTTGTGAATTGTAAAAAAAGTTTAAAAAGGGGGTGAATATATATATATATGTATAAGTTTTGCTAAAGGCCCGTTGACCAACTTTTTACTAAATTTATATTCAAACCAACACAGTGAATACACTTTATTTAAAGGTTATTATGTATTTACAGTTACAGTTATTTATTTGTAATTGTAACTTTTCATTTTTACAGCCATGGCAATAAGGAGATGTTCTCCTGTCATGGCATTCAGCTCGCAGTTGACTGGTTTCTTGAGCATGGCCATCGAGACGTTACAGTTTTTGTGCCGGCCTGGAGGAAAGAAGAGTCCCATCCTGATGCTCTTATCACAGGTGAAAAGATTTACCATCAGGACATCAAATGAGCAAATGTTGTGATTTAAACTTGTCTGTGAACCTTTCCTTATTAAGTTATATTAGGGGAAATACTTCTAATGGTATCTGATTTTTTTTATTGCAGTTAATAGAAGAAAAGTTCTCACAGCCTGTGACTAACTATATCTACAAATTAAACTTAATTCTTTTCCCCCTTACAGATCAGGAGATTTTGAGAAGGCTGGAAAAGGATAAGATACTTGTTTTCACACCCTCACGTCGTGTTCAGGGCCGGAGAGTAGTCTGCTATGATGATAGGTTTATTGTTAAGCTAGCTTATGAATCAGATGGCATCATTGTCTCCAATGACAACTACAGAGACTTGGCTGTTGAGAATCCAGAATGGAAAAAGTTAATTGATGAACGCCTTCTGATGTACTCCTTTGTAAATGATAAGTAAGTCTGTTGAACCTGGTATTATGAGGTATAAATATGAATGTTGAATGGAAATCTTAATTTCAGTGTTTTAAGTGTACTTTAATTGAATAATATTAATAATAATCTGGGAAAAAATTATCTTAGGTTTATGCCTCCTGATGATCCATTGGGTCGACATGGGCCGAGTCTGGAGAATTTTCTTAGAAAAAGACCTATCATTCCAGAGCATAAGAAACAGCCCTGTCCATATGGTAAGTGTTTTTGATGCTGTTTTTCAGTTGTCTGAAACTGAACAACTGTTAACTATTTACTGTATGTATATAGTCAAGCTGTCACTCAATTCAACATTTGATGCAGATTAATTATAGCCAAGCTATCACTCAAAATTTGGCGCAGATTAATTATGTGAATATTAGCAGCATGCGGCCGAATCACAGCCCTGCTGATATAGAACAATATCACATGGCTACTTGTGTGATATTGCATTTATACAACAGTTTAACGGCACAAGTGTGTAAATGAATAGGAAACAACCACGGAGTGTCTTAAAAAACCCTTTTTGTGTGCAGAACCGCTGTCCTTCTGCCACAGATTCAAATCTCAAATTAACAGTTTAACAGATTAACAGAAGCCTCCATCATTTTAGAACTAGTAATGAAGCATTGAAAATTCATTGAACGTTTCATTGAAAGCTTATTGTATCATGTAGAGTAGAATGTTATGAGAGAGAGATCGACTGAGCGAGTGTGATTACCTGCATCTGATACATCATTCATTCTTCAGTTCAATGTTTCCAATGACAATGCGGGTCAATGCATTTGTTGGTTGCCTCTTACAAGGTGTTGTTGAAAGCAAAAATCAACTTCCTTGTTTACAACTTTTTTTTCAGTCTCTTTCAATATAAAAGGCTTTGCTACTGATTCATAAAGACAGTCTCTTGTCGCCATCTAATGCCGCAACAATGTAACTAAACTCACCAGCACTAACACAAAGACCATTTCTCAGTACCCAAACACTTTTATTAATTACTATTGTTTATATAAAATATTATTTCTTGAACAATAATGTTTAATAAACAACAACAATCATTATAATATTTGCCAAGGAAAAAATAAAAAATGGGTGGAATGGGCTAACATGGATTATTGGAATACTGCAGGAAGGGTTGCCATACAACTTGGAATCGACAATGTAGTTTGGGCTCCAATAAACATATGCCTTCAAATCGTATGGAACAACTCAGACAACCAGGTTTTGAAAAAAGGGGCATCTGGAGATTTCCAATGTAAAAGTATTATCTTTTTAGCAAGGGTCATACCCAGCAACAGTGATTGCTGTTGAGAGCTTGAAAGAGTGTTCAGTACCTCAGAAGTCCCCAAAATTGCTAGAATGGGATCAAAATTCACAACTTTTTAAAAAACCTTTGAAAAAAAAGTCAAAAATGCTACTCCAAAAATCAAACAGGTTAGGTCAAAACCAGAACAGATGCAATAAGGAGCCCTCTGTCAATTTACATCTATCACATATTGGATACATAGTTTTACTAATTGTATTTAGTCTAACTTTGGAATAATACATGCACTACCTTGGATCAGCCTGTGTCTGGCATTTATTGAACAAAATTGGATCTTACTAAGGCATTCATTCCATGTTTCATCAGACTAGTCTAGACCAAAATCCTTGGCCCAAGCTTCTTTTAAGTGATTTGTGGTAACACGCATCGGGAAGGCATTAACAAATCGTGAAATTAAACGTCTAGAGGTTGGATTTGACATAATACGTTAATCAAATGTATTAGTCTTTGGCTTGCTAACAAATTATGGAATGACTTTTAACATAATGCCTTATTTGTAAATACTGAAACAAATCAGACCCAGGAAGATTAAATATAGACTGTAACTGACTAAAGGATGCAAACATGCCATCTACATAGAGGATCTCCAATGGACCTTAACCTTTTTGCCCCGTGACAGGACAGTCAGAGAGTTCACAGACGACCTCCGTGGCCGTGACAGGACAGTCAGAGAGTTCACAGACGGCCTCCATGGCCGTGACAGGACAGTCAGAGAGTTCACAGACAGCCTCCTTGGCCGTGACAGGACCATCAGAGGGTTCACAGACGGCCTCTTTGGCCGCAGCTGGACTGGTAGAGAGTTCAAAGGCGGACGCCGCTGCCTCTGGAGGTTCTGCAGCAGAAGCCGCCACCTCAGGAGGAGCTGGACTCACTAGAGTCATTGAAACAGGAAACGGCACTCCTGGCCGTGATGAAGGAACTGGAGCAGACTCAAGGACTGGAGCGGGCTCTGGAGTTGATTTGAGGACTGGAGCAGGCTCTGGCACTGACTCGTGGACTGGAGTGGCCTCAGGAGGAGTAACAGAGCAGTGAGTAGCCCAAACACACAGGATGGTGACTGCCATTAAAAGGGAGCACTGAGCCCAGGGGAACAGTCTCTGTGAGGACCAGTGCTGAGACCCTTGGGATGCCCACTGCTGTGGCCGAAACCAGCGGTGGATCCTCCACACTGGATGCCTGTCTGGGAAGCCTTGGGGCTAACCTTGAGGCACTGGGCATGGTTGACATAACGTAAAGAGACTCTGGAATGGCGGCCATGACGGGACGAGACTCTGGAACGGCGGCCATGATGTGATGGGATTCTGGAGAGGTGGACACTGTGGAAGTACTGCGCTCCTCCTCCACAACTCCCACAGTAAATTGAAAACCACTTAATTGCAGGGCAATATCAATATACTATTCAAGAGTCCAATTAGGGTCATGTAGTGGCATAAGGGAGCTGAGAGGTTCAGAAAGCCTTCCATGAAAAATATCATTAAACATAGATTGTCTATGGAAGTTACGTGTGCCAGTTCAATAAATTCACCTACATAATTCTCAATATTTTTTTTTGCTGGTCTGGAAACACTCGCAAAAATGCTGGATCTATGTTTAGACTGGGACGTTTGATAAAGCTGCTGGATACTGGTATGTCTCAGTATTCTGTAACGTGGCATGTGAAAATGGGGTTGAGGATCCAAGTGCAGGCTTTATTTAGAAGAGTGCTCAAAACAGGCAAGGTCAAACAGCAGCAAACAAGTATAATCCAGGGCAGACAAAAGAGTAATCCAATAAACAAGCAATGGTCAAGGCAGGCAGTAAACGATCACAAAACCAGATAACAGTCCAGGGTCAAAAAACAGGGCAAGGCACAGCAACAAGGAACAAAGAGAAATACTGGAATACTACAGGCTAGACAATACTGAGAAATGAAGGTGTGAAAAACCAGGCTTTAAATAGGGTGAGACTGATGAGGTAACAAGACACAGGTGAATGCAATAAGTGATGATGAGTCCGGCAAAGGATTATGGGAAATGTAGTCTGTGAGAGTGGCAAGAGTCAGGGGTGGAGTGCCCTCTGGTGGCACTCATGATGGGCACTCCAGCTGGAGATCGTGACAAAGGGGGTGACTTCTAATCCCTTCTACCAATGGTTCCAATGCAATATCAAAAAGAAGAGGGGAAAGAGGATCTCCTTGTCTAACTCCTCGATGTAGTTCAAATGGTTTAGATTTATTAGCATTCGTTAGTATAGATGACGAAGGACGTAAATACAAAATATTTGACCTACTTAATAAAACCACTTCCAAATCCAAAACGCTCAAGCGCTTTTAACATAAATGGCCACTCTATTTGGTCAAAAGCTCTTTGAGCATCTAACGAAATGATCGCTGCTGTGACTTTTGAACCAAAAGCTTTGTAGAATTCACATCCAAAGTCATCAGGTCCTGGTGTTTTACCAGAAGAAATGGACTTAATGGTCCCCAATATGTCTGCTTCAGTGAACAAATCCTCTAACTCCTCTTTTGAAGCCTCACTAAATTGAAGTAGGTTAAGACTATCAAAAAAAGTATCATAATCTAATTGGCTAGCATTATGGTTAGGGTTAGGGTTAGGTTACTTAAAATGTAATAGCATTACATTTTGTGGAATAGAGATCAGAATAAAATTCTCTGAAATTCTCATTAATCTCTTTTGGATCAAAAGCTATAATCAGATCTATATCTGATTGGTCTTCGCATTTTTGATTTTATGGATTGCTTGCTCCCCTCTTAACTGTCTTGCCAGTAAAGTGACGTGACATGTGGCCAAGTATGGTTACCCATACTAGGAATTAGTGCTCTGCATTTATCCCATCCTAAGTGCACACACACAGCAGTGAACACACACACACCGTGAACACACACCCGGAGCAGTTGGGGGTTCGGTGTCTTGCTCAAGGGCACCTCAGTCGTGGTATTGAAGGTGGAAAAGAGCGCTGTACATTCACTCCCCCCACCTACAATCCCTGCCCTTACGAGTCCGACTCTCTAACCATTAGGCCACTACTTTCCCGTCGATTTTATGGATTGCTTGCTTTGCTTGCTCCCCTCTTAACGGTCTTGCCAGTAAAGTTTCCGGCTTATCACCTAATTCGAAGTGCTTCTGTTTCAGTTTAAGTAGGAGGCCCTCAATTATTTTACCTAAAATAAAATTGTATTCATATTTTAAATTCAAAATTTTGTTGAAGTCTTCTTGTGATCCAGAGCTTTTATATGCCTGTTCAAGTATTGAAAGTAAATGTACAATTATTGGTTCTCTTTTTGGCTGCTTCAAATGAAATAATGTGACCTCTCATGACTGGGTGTCCCATAAGACTGAATCTGAGACTATCATTTATACTAGGCACAAGCTCAGAAGTAATCAAAACATTGTCAATGTTCACATCTTCATTCTTTTAAAAAGTTTTCACCTCCAGGCTCTTAATGCATCGTTTTTCCTTCTGGAGCATAAGTGAGTGCTTGAACTTTTTGTAATAGTTGCACGAGTCCCTCAGTTGTCCTCAGTGTGAAAAGATTGATCTCAAAATCATGCAGTCATTGTTGGAAAGGGTTCAAATATGGAAAAGATGCTGGAAAACCAAATAATTTGTGGGACCTGAAGGATTTTTCTGAAGAACAGTGGGCAGTTTAACTGTTCAGGACAAACAAGGGATTCATGAACAACTGTCACAAAATAAACAAACAAAAACAGCTGTGGATCATCCAGGTAAACAACACAGTATTAAGAATTAAGCGTATGTAAACTTTTGAATGGGGTCATTTTTATAAATTCAACTATTATTTTTCTTGTGGACTATATGTAAACGTCTTTTACATTAAATATCTTATTCAGGTCAGTACTAAATAAAAAAATAACATGCATTTTGTATGATCCCTTTTATTTTGGTGAAATAAGTAACGTATAATAATATAATTATTTATAATAATTTGTTACATTTATATAGCGCTTTTCTGGGTACTCAAAGCACTTCACATGAAATCGGGGGAATCTCCTCAACCACCACCAGTATGCAGCATCCACCTGATGATGCGACGGCAGCCATAGTGCGCCAGAACGCCCACCACACACTAGCTTATTGGTGGAGAGGAGACAGAGTGATGAAGCCAATCAGTGTTTGGGGATGATTAGGAGGCCATTATGGTCAGAGGCCAATGGGCAAATTTGGCCAGGATGCCAGGACATATACATGTTACATATACATATTGTTATATGTTACTTATTTCAATATTATTACATTATACAATATCACAGTTTACACACACACACACACACACACACATTAGTTTTTCCTATGATGCACAGCTGAATTTTCATCAACCATTACTGGAGCCTTCAGTGTCACATGATCCTTCAGAAATCATTAAAATATGCCGCTTAAGAAACTTAAGAAACATTGACTTTTTGTCAATGTTGAACAATTGTAGAAAAAAAATCTTACTGAACTCAAACTTTTAAACAACAATGTATATTAGGGCTGTCAGTTGATCAAAAAATTAATTGATTGCACAGATTTCTGTAATTAATCGATTATCGAATATTGGTTGTGACGACAGAAAAGGCATGATTAGTGATACCAATGGTCACAGTGAGGATGCTAGCATGTTCTTTTTTCCCCTCCCTGCCATACATTTGCTATTAAAATTAACACAATATTAATACACATTATTTGAGAAGGACACGTCCCCAGTATTTGATATTCTTTATTTTGCTCTGCTGCTCTCCACTGAGCTGCGCTCTGTATGTTATGAAAACAAAACATTTAATCGCTATGCCCTTTGTGTTCCTGCAACTTCCAATTTACAAATAAAGCACTACAACATTTGTTTGTTTCCCCCCCATTTCCATTAGGAAAGAAATGCACCTACGGGCACAAGTGTAAGTTTTACCATCCAGAGCGTGGTACACAGCCACAGCAAGCGGTGGCAGATGAGCTCCGTGCCAGTGCCAAGAACTCCACAGTTAAAATTGTGGGAGAGACGGATCTTGTGAAAAGCAACAGTGAGCCTGGAGACTCCCGTAATGATAAAGCGAGCGACGGTAAACGATCTCAGCCAAAGAGGCAATCGGACCCCAGTATCCGTGCCCTCTCTTACAGTGATGTGGAATATAAGCTGTGCTCTAAAACTAAAGCAGACCTGTATAAGATCAACCTAGCTCTTCCTCCAGCTCCAGGAGGTCCTCCTTCTTGTCATGGGTATAGCCAGGATCTGAAGGATCGCAAGCAGTCTCAAGGAGAACCCCACACAAATTGTGAATCTCCCAATCTTTATTACTCCATGGTTAGGGCATATTCTGGCATAAGCTTGCCCTCTCAGAGCAGTCCAGAGCGTCACTTCCTGTCTGATGCTGATCCATGGGCCTGCTCAGTGGCATCAGATTGCAGCAGTGATGGCAGCATGAGCTCAGATTCTTATGGCATGGCAATCCACAATGAGCATTTCTGTATGAGCTCTCCTGATTTGTTACTGGATGAAGGAATCAAGTGTCACCACCACCATCATCATAGAAATGACCAGTTACCCTCTGTTATTCCTCCAGGATGCATTCTCTCTCCTGCTACATCTAACCACCCAGGATTCCACCACAGCATACCTCGTGTCCATAGTTTTGCTCTAGAAGACCAGCAAGACCCCCATTTCCAGCACTCTGTCTTCTACATGTCTCCACAACACCAGCATCAAGTCGTAGGTTCCCGCTCAAGCTATCCTGGAGGCTGTCCTCCTGTCTGCCAGAGCAACACTCACTCCCAGAACTCTCCACTGGGTCGTGGCCTTGCCTCAACACGTGTGGACAGTGTGTCAGACTCCAGGCTATATGAACACTCTCCATTGCTGCCTAGAAAACACAACCTATCCCAGGAGCGAAAGACTAGCTGGGATTCATATTACAGACAGCACCCACAACCATGCTACGAGCCCTTCAGCTTCCAGGATCTTTCAAAGAGCCGTAAACAGATGTGGCGGATGCCCTGGGGCTGTGCTTCTGCTCCTCCTCCCCCCCATCCATCTCTTCTGCCCCACATTTTATCACACCAGCACCAGGAGCCACTTGCCTTGAGTAGTTACCAGGAAGTACGAGAGAAAGTGTTTACCAACCTGTGCAACATTTTCCCTACAGAGCTAGTACAGTTGGTCATGGGGCGGTACCCTCATGTGACCGATGCCCAGCAGCTGGCAACAGCCATCTTGGCTGAAAAGAACCATTTTGGATACTACGCGCAGAGGTAAAATGAAAATACTCTCATCATTTACTCACCCTCATGTTATCACAAATGTGTGACTTACATTCTTCAGACGAACACAGAGAATTTTTTTTAAATAATCTCTGAGAGTCCATAGGACCCCCAAAGATGATGCTTCAAAAGCCACACAAAACACAATGGTAATCCATAGAACTCCAGTTGATGAATCAGTGTTTTTTGAAGTGAAACAATAGGTGTGTGTGAGAAAAAAATATATAGTAACTTAATATATTAACTTTTTAAAATAAAAACTTGGCCAACTGTCAAAGTTCACTTGATATAAACGTGATATGAAATGTGATGTAAGCGGATTGTGAAATTTGTGAAGCACAGAGGCTTGTCACTTCAGAACACAAATCTTGATTTGTATTCATCTGGAGAAAGAAAGTCATATGGATAGGATAGGATAGGATCAACTTTATTAATCCCCGCAGGGAAATTGGTTTGCATGAGCAGCCAAAACATAAACCATACAACACAAAATAAATACAATAGATAAAAATAAATAATAATAATATGCATGTGGGATGGTATGATGGTAAGTAAATAAGGAGAGACTCTTCATTTTTGTATGGAGTATCCCATTAACAGTGACCTGCTCTCAGCAAACTTTGACTCTCTCTGCCAGCTTCTTGCACTCTAATAAAATTGAGGCAGTTGGTTAGGATGACCAAATATATTTATGTAAAGCATTGCACTAAAAGTACCATGTTAAATATTTAAATTCTCAGCTTTGAGAAAGTTTAGGCCTGTAGATATGGCCTCATAATATTAAGCATTATTGATTTCTTGCTAGAAGTGAGACTGATTGAAATTATTGGCTGACATATGAGGAGAATATAGCTATAAAAGATATCTTATAGACCAGAAGTGTGAATGTTGTGATGCGTGTGATATTTATTTTTTTCTATTTATTTTCTGAGATGTTTTACTTTGTTAATGATTATGTTCAGGTGAGCATGTAATGAATCCCAAGGCACTTTTTATTGCTGTTTATCAAATTAAATGCATTTTGGTAACTTATGGCAATCAGTAAGAGGAGATGGAAGGCCAGAGTATTTGTAGGTGTAGATGGTCTGCAATAGAATCTATTAGGAGAGCTTGGGTATTATATCTGTAAAGCTGCTTTGAAACAATGTGTATTGCGAAAAGTGTTATACAAGTATATTTTACTTGAGAAAACATGTTTAAAGCATTGCATTCATCAGTGTCAACACATCAAGGCATCAGTTAAATTAAATGCATGTAAAGGGCAGCACTTCACTTTGCTAGAATGTGACAAGAATTTCTTTGGCTGAAAAAAATATTTGAGGAATATTTTAGTATCTGTTTGTTCTTTTTTGGAAGATAATCACTTTCAAATTCAGAGGTGCTATCACGTAGCTTTATGTATTTTTACTTTCTTTGTTCTTCGCAGGTTCAGAATTATAGCCATAATCCTGCAGCTCTTTGCCTCTTCCTCCTCTTAATGCCAACTCTCACTTGAATTGTGTTTGATTTGTTTTTTTCTTTATATGCAAAAGTGGCTAGTCCAGTGAAGTAATTTGCCTATCACGGACTACTTATATTGCTATGTTAATTATGATTTTGTGATGTTTTATTTGTATTATTATTATTATTATTATTTTGCATATAGAGATGAATGTGTCAGGGTGTGCTTACTTGTAATTTGGGAATGGGCTTGGGTATTCTGTAGTTCTGTCTGTGTAAGGTCTGAATGTAGCCACAGGTGTAGTCTAGTAAAGAAAGTTGTAACCAGCTCTGTCTGTGTATAACTTAGTTTTAGTAGGAAAAATAGGGTTATTGGAGTAAACTGAGGCAGGATTTGAGCAATTTAAAACAGTGATTTTTTTTAACCCTTTTGTTGTGTTGGGGTCAATTTGACTCTTGATTGACAGCTTGAAATACTGGTTAAACTATTTACTTCTTGAAATGTTGTGATTATTTCTCATTTAGGGTCGTGAATGTGCATGCAAAGTTTCAACACAGAGATGTTTTGGAAAGGCTGTAAAAAAAAGTCACGCCCATTGGTTTCCATGCAATTTGCAAAAAATCTGACTCAAAGTTTAAGACTCAAGACTCAAAAGTTTATTTAAAATTGAGACTCGCCTTCTGATTCATCTAAAGAAAATTCACTGTTTCTTCATGAAAGAAAAAATGTGTGTAAGGATGTTTCTGGTTACGTTTTTAATCTCAATTACTAGACTGTTGCAGCACTGAATAGAAGCAGAGACACCTATTTTACCAATACTCCATATTAATTAAATAAACTCAGTTTATTTTCTAAAACTACCTGTGTTCACATAAATTAATAGTGGTCTGCGCTTGTCTACAATACATTCTCCCCACGCTGCAGTGCATCGCGCAGCTTTGCCACACATATTTTAATGGGTGGATAACTATAATAAAACAGGCATGCCTAGGGCCAAAAGGATCTGCTTCAGTATGGTTTGTGTCAAGCCATTCATTAATCTGGCTGTTTGATGAAGAGATAAAATGTAGTAGAAATAAACATGTTAAGAATCAATAGAAGCGGAGGACTATTATTAAGTTTTTTTTAGGACTATTATTATGTTGTAATGTTTGGTTGACCAATTAGCAGAGAGGGGCGTTTCATTCCCGCCCACATGTAGAGATCGAATATTCAAGTTGTTTATTCGTTTTCTATCCCTGAATGTAAAAACGAAAAATTAAGCCGGATTCTTGATTTTGATTCATTATTGAAAAACGAAATATGTGCCCGTTTTTCATTTTTCAGATTTCAATATTAAAACAAAAATTGATTGGACGGAAGATACCCTGATTATTTAGCCTCTGACATCACATATTTTTTATAGCTGCTTTCAGCTTGGAATATAACACATTTCTATGAAAGTCTTGTACAAATCTTAATTCCTAACATCCGTACCTCTACAAGACACAAATAACAACAAAAAAATGGAAAGGAAATAAATAGGATTAACAACTTTTAAAATGAGAAAAAAAGGTTCCATACCTTCTGTTATTGATGTCAAGGTTGTGAAAAATGAAAGGGGTCATGAACTGCATTTTTTAAAATTATTTTATAATGTTCTCTGAGGTTCACTTATAATGTTAGTGTGATTTTACATAAAAAAACATCATAATTTAGAAGTAAGACTATTTTCTATCCTGTTTTTGAGCCTCTCTGCAGAACGGTCTGTCTTTATAGGTGGGGTCTGAGGTTCACTTATAATGTTAGTGTGATTTTACATAAAAAAACATCATAATTTAGAAGTAAGACTATTTTCTATCCTGTTTTTGAGCCTCTCTGCAGAACGGTCTGTCTTTATAGGTGGGGTGCATTCAAGACTTGCAAGTAAACGCCCACTGCTATGATTGGCTAATAGTTTCGCTTATTAAAATAACAGATGGACGCTGCTGTGACGTACTCTGAAAACAACATGGGTCATTTGGGTTAAAAACGTACAAATACTCAGTATATATCAAATGGTCTTATTACATTTGAAATATGGATATTTTTCTTACAAAAACGCATGGATTCACAACAGAAGGCCGTTATTCACCCCCTGGAGCCATGTGAAGCATGTTTTATGACAACTTGTGGACTGTTCAACTGCAACACACGCTGACTGCAATGATAGAGCTTGGAATAGCCAGGACAATTTTTAATATAACTCCGACTGGATTCGTCTGAAAGAAGAAAGTCATTTACACCTAGGATGCTTCGAGGGTGAGTAAAAAACAAGCCAATTTTCATTTTTAGGTGAACTAACCCTCTGAAGTCCAGATGTTTGTACCTTTCTGTGCTTTTATTGTCTGTTCTTCAATCTGTCTCAGTCTCTCGATTAACTCATCCTTTTCTCGCTCTATTCTCTCCTTCTCCTTTTCTGCATGCTCTCGTTTCTTCTTCTCATTCTCAAGCTGAGCTCTGATGGAGACAGAGTAAATTTGATTTGTGCAGCAACACCTCAAAGTTCCATTTGTCTGATGCCCAGAGTCATCACTTCCAAGAAAACAGAACTAGAAAAAAAGTTGCATAAAATTAAAAGTCCACGTAACACGTAACTTCAAAAAATTAAAGTAGACTAAGATTCTAAAGCTCAATTAATATAGATTACTTTTACGATGTCCTCATTAACTTTTTGAAGCTTGAAATTTATGGTTGCATGGACTTTCAATGGCTAGACAGAATACTATGTAAACTAAGTATAAATAAAAATGCATGAAAAATAAAAATGTTTTGAAAAGAATGTTTATGTCAATTATGTCATGTAAAGTGTTCATTGTCACATCTCTATCTGTTTCTGGTGTTTTTCTTCTCTGGCCTGAGCCTTCATCTGCTGCACCTCAATGGTGTCAGGCTTCCTCCTCCTCATGTACAGCTCATGGTTGCCCATACACAGAGCCAGGATGCGCTTGTTGATTCGCAATCGTGGTGCATAGAACACAAAATCCTGCCATCACAATTGAAAAGATTCAGTGAACATGTTCATATTTGATCTCTTCATGCTATGACTGATATTACTGATTTGGCTGATATGACTGATACTTGTTCTCCATATGTACAAAGTTTTGAGAAGTTTGGACTTTGTGGCCACAAATGATTTAGGCATATTTGTCATAATGGGCAAGTCCCAAAAAATGCCAAATTGTATCTGCTAAATTTAATGGATTAAATTATTTTGACAACTTAAACGGTTTTTGTTCTTCAGAAAAAAACAAAAATGAAATATACATGTGTTAAGGTTTAAAGCAGGTGTTCTGTACAAATAAAAAAGAAGTTTGACACTATCACGTATGGTTGTTTAGTTATTAGCAAAGTTGCTTATTATAGTGACACCTTGAGAACTTGTTACAAAAAATGTGTACTCGTTTTCACAATGTACGAATGTGTCAATAATTATAATGTATGCTATTCGGATTTGACATTCTTAGTCACTGAATTTTGATTGGCTGCTAAGTCACATTACAGAACATATCAGGACGTCCAACAAAGAAAATTCATACCAATTTACAACTGTATGGTTACGGCATTATTATAGATATTCGTTTGTAAACACCATATCAGTGACTTACCCCCAAAATTATGTGAATGTAAACATGGACCAAATAGAAAAACTTCTGTAGTTCAAACTGACAGAATAATCATAAATAGTAATGAAAATACTTACGGGTGCTTTTTTATCAATGGGCTTGATGACAAACTTCTTATCGCTGAAAGAAATATTTCGGATCTCACTCCAAGGGAAACCAATCTTTGGTGTGAGCCTTAAAGAAAAACAAAGAGAGGGATGAACAAGATTAAAAATACCTTTATCCACATTATTCAGAAAGTCATGTCAAAAACAGCCAGCAGTGGGCAGCAGAGGAAAACACTTAGTTCATGTGCTGACAGACCATCAAATCAGCTGAGCTCTTAGAACCTAATATTAAAGTATTTTTTTGGAGTTGACTGACATGAGCACTATGACCCCATAGGGGTGGGGGTGGGGGGCGTTCTGCAGGGGCAATTGCGTGGTTGAGCGGTACCTAAATATGCTACTGGAAATGGTCCCACACTGTGAACCGAACTCAAGGCTATGCTTCTCTTCACCCAGGGGCAAAAGGCCAAAACACCACATGCTGTGACTCACCCTGTTCTAATGTCTGCCCTATAAGGCAGGGAATGGATGGGTGCTGAAGCAGGAGGGAGAGGTCAACTCTAATAATGCAAATAATACTCACAAGATAATATACACAAGCTTCCGTGTTTACCATAAGCATTGTGTGTCAGTTATTGCTTAGATGTAAAAGCTTAAATTTATAACCCTTTTAGATTTTTTAAGTTTTGATTGCCTGAACTTTCAGCTCAAGGGAGAAACCTCTCAGGTTTCATTAAAAATCTATTAATTATTGTCATATGGAACTAAATTATTAATTTACCCTTTAATAAATTCTTCCGGGGGAAAAAATTATGGAAAATGTTTTTAGAAATTAAATTTTCAAAAGTGACAGTAAATATTTGTAAATTGTTACAAAAAAAATATTTCAATTAAATGCTATTATTTTAAATTCATCAAATAATCTTGAATAAAATGCATCATGGCTTCCACAAAATATAAAGCAGCACGACTCTTTTCAACATTGAGAACTATAAGAAAAGTTTCTTGAACAGCAAATCACCATATCAGAATGATTTCTAAAGGATCACTGAAGACTCAAGTAATGGATGCTGAAAATTCAGCTTTACATAACACTAATAAATCACATTTTAAAATATATTCACATAGAAAACAGTTATTTTAAATTGGAATAATATTTTCACAACATTAGTGTTTTTACTATATTTTTGGACAGAAAATAATTATTTTAAAAACATTTAAAAAAAATCATACAGACCCCAAACTTTGGTATAGTAGAGTTTGTACATAAAGCAAGAGTGAGACATTTCAGCAGAAGACATACTTGTCTTTGTGTTCATAAATGTTGAGACCAAGAGCATCCACTC